TTTTTTCCATCCATGTCAGAAAAAAAATCTCAAATGGATCTTCATAAGTATTTTTCTGCAAAACCTCATCAACCATATCAATAACAAAATTATCATTAAAATCAAATTTGATTAAAGGAGACTTCCCATTGAACACTTCAAATGACACTTGAGCCTTTTCATCTTCTTCCTTATAGACATCCTCTTTAGTTTTTGCAGGTATGCTTTCCACTTCTTCAAGTTGTCTTTCATTTTTTAAGGGTAAAGTGTTCACCTTTTCTTCTTGATTTTTCATTGTTGCACTAGGTAACTCACCTTGTATCTCTTTAGTAACTAAGTTGAGCAAATGACTTGATTGGACCTTAAGGTTTTTATCCAAACATGTCTCCTCTTCTTGATCTTGAAACCTTGATTGTAGCTCTAGTATATCTTCATTATCCCATGAGGAGTTTGAATAATTTATTCAATCAAAGTTACATGTATTGGGATAAGAATTATACTGCTGACTATAAAACTCACAAGAAAAATCAACACACTTGTTATATCGTTTAAATAAGTAATCAGAATTAAAATGGTCGAATCCACACCATTGACAAGTGATATTTAATCATTCTATTAGAGCTTTCTTTAATTTTTGCCTTTCGATGACTGCTTGAAATCGTTCAAGTTCATCATCGTCAATTTATGCATCCCAATTGATAATTATTGCTTCAACTTGTGCCCTTATCTCTGGTGCAAGCCATTGATAATTCACATCAGTGTTTAAGACAACTCGATCTATAGTTAAACCTATAAAAACAAAAACAGAGAAACGAAAAAAAAAAAATCAAAGTAAAGAAATAAAAGAAAAAAAAACGTTCAAATTAAATCTAGAATTATTTTTTATAATCTTAGTGTTTATCAATATGGCCTACAAAAAATTAGGAGGAAAGCACTCTTATTCCAACTTTAAGAAAATATTGTTTTTATCTTTTTTAATGTGAGTTTATTAAAATTATATAATTTTGTAGTGTTTTTCTTCCCAAATTTTAGAGATTCAATTAACAAATACACTTCTCTTTTTTTTTTTAATTGATCATTGCATAATTTATTATTATGATATTTTTTTATTTTAATATATATATTTATTTTTAATTTTTATGAAATCATGAAAAATTCCCCTTTTTTTTTGTTTTATCGTTTCAACATGAAAATTTTTTTTTAATTAATCACTGATGAAATGACTATT